TTTTTAAAAATATTACGGAATACTCTTAACGATAACTGACTATTTACTTTATTAATGGTTTTCAAATGTTCTACATAATGCTGATATACAGTTTTTGTGTTTCGAAATTCTTGAGGTAGATATAATTTTGTACTTTTATTCCTGCAATAATGTGAAGGAACCGCTGGTAATTCTTCTATAGAGGATTTTACTAGCGATATGCTTGCTTCCTCAGATTTGTTGTGTGCAGTTGGCTTTTTCATATTTTCAAGGCAAGTTTTATACGAACTTCAATTTTTTATTACGGATATTAAAATCGTTTGTGAAACGTTCAATGTTATCAATAAAAATTTTTGACAAACTTTAAAACTGCTATTATGGATATTGATAAAATAATTAAAGCTGCACTTTTTTCTGCCACTTTCTCCATATCGCCTTTTAATATAGACTTGTTTAACACAAGAAGACAGCCAAACTTTCTGTCTAATTTTGTTGCCGATTCCCCAAAAATGTTCATTTATTCTTACTCTTTTATCTTCAGAAATTTTATCATGACACGAATTTGGACATTTTTTCTTTAGGCACGGGTTGGGCAAAACACTCGTATTTTTTCTTAACTTTTTGCAGCCTTTTAGGTATTCTCTTTTGCTTTCTGTAGCCCCTTTTCCCAACACACTTTTCCTCCTCGACTTCCTTTAAACTTTCCAAACCATTTAAATCAACGAAAGATTCATCTGAATCGATATACGGTAACAGGGCGAGCTGTAAAAATATCCAATAATTGAAAACAAAAACATATATTTCCAAAAAAAAAACAAATTCATACCTTCGACATATTGTTCTAAAGCTTTATCTTTAATTAAAGTCTCAAAAAATTGTGTTCTTTCCCCCTTGTGTTTCATTTTAAAGAGAATTTAATTGTATCCCACACAAGCGTTCAAAGAAAATGTAAACAAGTCACCATATGCATTTACATTAAAATTGTTTTTGTTATAAAGTCATAACGGTTCAATCTACAGCCATGAAATTTTGACAGGTGATGCAAATGATGTTGAACTATCGATTTCGATAACAAACCAGAAATGGATTATGTGTGGGATACATTATTTTGGCGGTAATGGCTCGATATATCCACAGCATATAGCTTGCAAATGTAAGCATTTACAACAAAGTACCACTATTTTTATATCCTCCAGCAAAAGCTATGTATGTATTTCGGAGCTGCATACTTATAGTATATATCTTTGGAGTTAAATCTTATGTATGTAAATTTTATATTTAGGATTTTTATTTTTACCGAAATGAACTGAAGTCTGTTATTTTGTCTTTTGTTAATAATTCAGGTAATTTTTATACCATTGAACTGACGTGATTTTTATTTTTAATTCCATTGAAAGAAACTGAATTATAATTTTATCAAATAAAATTTAGTATTATACGTCATAACATGAATGTATGTATGTATGTATATGGGATTTTTGTTTTTAATAATAGAGAAAATTAATGCAAAATATGAAAACCCCGTTTTTATTTCATTATGTCAAGTCATTATTGGACCCAGTTACAAAATCCTTTCGTAATGGATTTTTTAGCCTCTGGTTCATAGCATTACGGCTCAAAGGCTCAAGTGGCTTGCGCACAATTGAGCTTATTCGTATATTTACAAGTGTTTTGTATTCATAATTGTCAGAGAATCCTAAGCAAAGCTTCATAAGTATTGTGAACTAGTTAACGACATAGCTTCGCTCCGGATCACACACACACATTCACATACATCTTATCTGTTAATACACTATACATCTTAAACAAAGAGGAACTATGTAAACCGATAGAACTTGTTTTGACATACACTATCAGTCGAATAATAGAAATAAACAATACCAACCAAACATGCATTATCTAGAAATGCATTCTCGGCATATAAACAACAAACATCTGGCAATGGAATAATCCACTGTGGTAACCACCTCCACATCTCAACAATAACAAACAAGTGATAGCAAGATAACAGATATTGAATTACAATAAATAAGTTGCAAGCAGATAACAGCAGCCGCATTCCACAAGTATAAATAGCACTAAGGTTATAAAATGTAGTCAGTAAGAAATTATGAATAAAAAATTCAATACGAAAATAAGTGTACTGCCCAATAAATATAATAGGGCAATTCAGTTTGGTGCATCTGAGTTTGCAAAATTATCCAATTGCAAATATTTATCGTCAACAGTGAACGTCTTTTTTGGGATTTCTGTGCAACCCTTGCAAATGCCATTAATTCACAGCTGATCGGTGAAGAAAAACATTGTTTGTAAACAAAATTGTCGCACAAATTGGAAAATATGCCGAAAAAAAGTTTTAGAGAAAAATTAACTGACGCTTTAATTGATGAAGCTGCTGAAGAAATTATTGACATTGAAGGTAAGAAATATTTTTATGCAGAATTTCAGTTAATAACAATGTTCTTCTATAAATCGAAAAAGATGATGACGCAGTGGATGCAGTGTTAGATGAATTGGCTGACAATATATCTGTTATTATGGAATGTTGGCGAGGAGATTATAGCATAATACCTAAGTCAGACATTTGGCGCAATAATATTTTGACAACACTGGACGAAGGCCGATCCCGCCAAATGTTAAGAATAGATAGAGATCGATATAATATCCTGGTTGATTTAATAAAAAACGATGAAGAATTCAACAAAGCGCACTCATGTAAGCAATTTTCTGTCGAATTGCAATTAGCAGTCACACTGTTTCGTTTGGGTTCGTCGGGAGAAAGCGCAGCATTTAGAAAAATAGCGACAATTTTTGGAGTGGGAGATGGCAAAACTATATCGCTAATAACAAAAAGAATCTTTAAAGTGTTCTTGCGTCACCAATCTAAGTATACATATTAGCCCGATGAGGTTGAACGATCGAAAATAGTATCGGATACTTTTGATGAGTTACCGTTTTGTATTGGATATATTGATGGAACCGAGATTAAATTAGCAGAATCGCCAATTGAAGACCATACATCATACATCTCCAGAAATCACATATATTCAATAAAAGCACAAATAGTTTGTGACTATAAACGAGTAATTCGATAAGTTGTGGTTGGTCACCCTGGGAGCTGGTATGATACCCGTATATATCGAAATAGCGCACTCTTTCAACAAAATGATCAGTATTTTTCTTCACAACAATGGATTGCTGGGGACTCGGCATACCCTTTATCTGCAACGTTAATAACCCCTTACAGAAGCAACGCAAGACAGTTGGATAGAAATGCCCGAATTGCATTTAATTTACGGCACAGTAAATACCGGGTTAGAGTAGAGCATTGTTTTGGGCTTTTAAATGAAAGATTTGGAAGCCTTAAGCAGCTAAGGATGCGTTTATCTAACAAAAAAAAAAACATAAATTTTGTTGCGATTGGTTTCTTGTCTGCTGTATTCTCCACATTTTAATTAATAGTGGCTCCACTTCGTTCGACGGTGGTTCAGATCCATCAACTGCTATCGAAGATTCTATTGAGCCTGATGAGCATACACCCAACAATATTGGAGAAACTAAAAGACAAGCTATATACGCATTAATGTTTTCTTAAATTTAAATGTAAATTAATCTTTCTGCTTTCAATTACATACTTATATAATAATTATAATTACATAGATTTATACATTTAGTATAAGACAAACATGAAAAAGATAACGCTTTGAATGATAGAAGATAGTAAAACATCAAAGACCGTATTAAATAAGTATTCATCTCAACAGAAATTGGTACTATATGTTTAAAATACAAAGATAAATAAAGTACAGAAAAGTTACTGGTGAGAGGAATACTTATATTTCATTTCAATTTCGAACTTTTGCAAGCGTTGCTCCTTTTCAATTTGAAGTTTTTTCAATCATTCATCCTTTTCCAATTCTAAGATTTTTAAGTCCAATTCACGATTCTTGTATATTACTTCAGCTTTACCTCTTTCAATTTCTGCTTGCAATCTTTTTTCATTCAAAGGGTGATCTTTTTCATGTTTCTCTTTTTCCCATTCCATTTTCATTTTGAACTTTTGCCTACGCTCGACTTGAAAAGCAACAAGATTTGCAGCAGATGATTTTGGGACATGTTTTTTAACTTTTTCCGCGGAATCTTTTGCTTTTTCAGGAACAATCACTTCACTACATTGCCTAGTGGTAGATTTTCAATATTGGCAATGTCAATTGGAGACCCAATTTCTTCGCCGACATCAGAAAAGGCGATTTCCAGTATTTGGCTGGCCGCGCTTTCATTCATTATGGACGTACTGCCACTATCAACCACTTCAAATGGTAATTCACTTGTGTCTTTTTTCCCAAAAATTTATTTAAGCTGATTAAAGTGTGGGAGCATCTGCAACACTTTGCCTGAAATATAAACATTAGAAAAAATTTTGTCGCATTCATTACGCTTACCTTCAACACTCGACGTCCCGGCATCACACTCAAGAAGGCCTGCTCGTGTTGACATTCGCCAATCGCTTGCTTTTTTGTATGAAGCCTTCAGGTGCCGCACTTTCCACCGTATTAAATGACACGTTGCGTCTATTTTTGTGCTCTCAATGAGCTTTTTATAAAAAATTTGAGATGCTGGTGCCTATTAAAATTATTGTTACATGAATTGTTGAAATTAATCACTTAAATCATTTACCTCTACTTCTGGGGCTTCCTGCAAGAAATCCAGTATACTCTGGATTTCTTTTCCGCTCCACTTTTTGTTGGGTTTTTCACGTTTAATTCTTTTTCTGTTTAAACCTGTTTGCTCCATTTCCTTTCTTTCTTTGCTTTTATTTTTGTCAACAGCTGATAATTTGCAAACAAGTGTTGCAAATAACACAATGGCGTCTTAGTGTTGCTTCTTTGCAAGTGTGTAGTAGGTGCATCGCTGTACATTTGGTTAGTGTAAAAGCAAAAATATGCTCGCTCATTTGCAATTGCAAATATGCAAGACCATTTGCACCAGATTCTGAAAAGCCCTAATTTCTTTTACTCGCGACAACAATAATTTGCTAACTAGCTCATAATCAAACACTTGTGAATATATGCTTCATTCAAGCTAAGCAGCTTACAAGTCAAAACTCTCTCTCTCACAATTGTAAGTCAGCAGTAATCACACTTGTACCCATGCCGTGAATAATTTGCTTGCTCATACTCAATTTTTCGCAAGTGGCGTAAAGTTGTGTTTAACTCATTCACTGCAGATCACTGGTGTGTACCTGGCTGTTCGGCTTCGAAACGAGTTCGGGTCTGGAAATCGTTCATGAAGGTTGTGGTATCATTTTTTTGGGATACGAAAGGAATTTTATTTGTGGATTACTTGCTAACTGGTAAAACAATTAATTCTGAATATTATTGCAACCTTTTGGACCAGTTGAAGGAAAAAAATCATGAATTAATGTTCAAGCATATACCGTATTCACTATACTTGGCTCCCAGCTACTTCCATTTGCTTCCATAACTCCAAAAATGTATGCGTAGCAAGCGTTTTTCATTAAATGAAGAGGTCATAACGGCTGTTGAAGTGTATTTTGTAGACCTTCCGGATTCTCACTTCAGGGATGTAATCCACAGATTGGGGGATCATTGAAGAAAATGTTTTAATGTTCAAGGAGATTATGAACTTTTTGTAGAGAAAATATACGCTCGAAATTTTCAACAATTCGACGAATAGCTAGCACCGGTGAACGATTATTACTTCTATAGAATGGCAAAAGCGCACAGAAATTCGCAATTTGAGAACGATTATTTTGATAAAATAGAGCAGTTTGTGAACGTTGTTCTTGCGTATAGAATTCCATGGAAAAATTGTAAACATTACTGAATACATTGAAAAAAATTGCAGATCTTGACATATGTGTTAGAAATGACCAAAACGATACTTATAAATCACATCATCCCTATTTTTAATAGGGTAGTCGGAAAAGGTGTTTCGTATTTCTAATCAAACATCAACTTATTTTTTATATTTATAATGAGCGCATTAAAGAACTAAATATGTACCATTTTGGTCGATGAATTTTTGCCATTTTTGATCTATAGACATTGTTACATCAGTGTGAAACATTTCTAATTTCTCGGCGAAAAAACTGCAACAAGTAATTTTCATAGGTAATCCGATGGTGCAAGGTCAGGGCTATATGGTGGATACATCAAAACTTCGCAGTCAAGCTCTCCCAGTTCCTGCCGAGTGATCAAAGATATGTGTGGTCTAGCGTTGTCCTGATGGAAGACGAAGCCCTTTCTGTTGATTATTTCTGACCGTTTTTTTTTTTTTTGGTTGCTTGCTTCAATCTCATCAGGTGTTGACAGTAAAATGTGGAATCATTCGTTCGACCAGACTTGAGCAGCTCATAGTAGATTATTTCTTTCCAATCCGACTAAACACTCAGCATAACATTTCCAGGCGTTAATCCTGGGTTTGCGACCATTTGTTGAGCTTCACCACGTTTGGACCATCATATTTTTCTCACATTATTGTCTTATTTGATCCACTTTTCGTCTCCTGTTTCCATTCGCTTCAGAAATGGTTCGATTTCATTTCAGCAGAGAATCGCAATGATAATTCGCTCCATAAAATTTTTCACAGACATTCCATATGGTGCATCAAGCTTCGTTTTGTAGCCAGCCTTTTTTAAATAGTTTAAAACCGTTTGATGATGAATGTTAAATTCCTTAGCGTTGTCATGGATTCTTATTTGACGGTCTTGGTCAATCTTTTCCATAATTTCATCGACAACAAAAGGTCGACCAGAGCGAGGTACATCGAAATTTCTAGGACGGAAGTGAGTGAACCGTTGTTATGCTACAATATCTGATATATTATCGTCTCCGTAAACTTCACAAATTTCATTGGTGGCTTGCGTGGTCCAAAAATTTACAAATATAGCAAGTGAAGCTTAAAATCTCACCTTTCTAACAATATACTATATGGTATCACACAATGTTGGTAGCACTGAAGGTAATCGACTGCAACGACGTCTATGGACAAAGTACCAAAAGACTTTTACTACGAATTATAAAAATTTGCAATTATTTTAGATAAAATTTGCAATAAGAACTGTGGTCAACATATTTGGTAATATGGGCTATATCCCCTTCTCTAAGTAGAGCAGTATTGCCAACTGATAGTCTTGCAATCTTACTGTGGAGCTTAATTATGGTGCTTTATAAGTTTTCGAATTATTGCGTTTTGTAAGCGTAACAATCTGCAATACCAGGTCCCTATTGCTAAGGAATACGGGTACCAAGTTTCATCAAGATATCTTCATTTCTACTCAAGCTTGCATAGACAGACTCAGAAGTCAACTTGTCTCGTCAACGCTGCGACTTCGACAAACACAGACCGTTGACATAGTATTCGTTTAATTGCCCAGAATCAGAAATCCGAAGTAAAAACGATCCTCATTGTCCTCCTGGCCAAACTAACGCCAAGTTTTCGTGGAAGTCCTCAACAGACTCTAACGAATGATCAATCGGATCCGACAAGACAGCGCAGCCGATTGAAAATTGCACCGCGACAATGCCCCGGCTCACACCGCTTTTCTTGTGAACAGCTACCTAACCAAGACTGGCATCCTAACGCTTCCCCAGACACTCTACAGCCCAGATGTGGCCTCGAGGACATTTTTTGTTTCCTTGCCTGAAATGAACATGAAAGCTTTCCGAACATGCAAGGGCATCCGCTTATATACTTACTGCTGGTGTCATATTTCAGGTGAATAGTTTTGAGGTTATTGACTTTAGTTAATTTACAATAATATTCGGATCAAATGCTTTTTACTGGTATTATATTTCATGACAGCAATCTTTAATCCGTTGACTTTAGTTAACTACTTCCACCTTAAGTCTAAGGACGATCTCGGTCGATCCTACTACAGCAACCATATTTTTTTACTTTTCTGAACAGCAGTGATGTCCAATAACAGTCGCTGAAGGTAACCAAGGAAGTACCATGCGTACATTTCAGTGTCCTTTGAACTTTTGCACCCGAGAGCATGACTTTCTTCACTACACTGAGGTACTCCATTCTCATTCATTGGTAATACGAGGTTATTATGGACGAAAGTAAAAAGTGTAATCTCTTTCTAGCTGACTTAATCTAATGAAACTTAATGATGAAATATTAATGAATTGAAATTCCTTCACGGACGAAATGGATTAAGGTTTCTAAAGTGGGTGGTCCACAATATTTAAACAAATAATGTGGCCTATGCAAGTATTATGGGAAGCCTTAAATTTTGCCACCTATCGTCATTTTTTGACATTCAACTCTTCTATTAATTTCTATTATAGTCACTGTTAGTCGAAATTCGACCAATGGCGAAACATAAACTTTAGAATAATAAAGGCAATAATGGGATATTTTCACAAATACACAAAGACCTTATCTCTCGAGTTAAAGTGCTGTTGACGTCTATTAAAGGAAAAAATCAAAATAACAAGTAAAAAATGGCTAACTTCGGATGCAACCTAACATTCTATTCTCTTGCTGTCAGGAATCAAAGCCAGGGAAATACCTTACGATGTAAAACGTCAAGCAGAAGATCGAAATTTAAGCAATTCAATATTATATATACATTTAGGGTCCGGTACTCGAAGTGTAAGCGGTCAAATTCCGAACATTGTG